TTTTTTATTTATTTATTTATTATGTATACAATATTCTGTCCATGTGTATGCCTGCAAGCCAGAAGAGGGCACCAGACCCCATTACAGATGGTTGTGAGCTACCATGTGGTTGCTGGGAATTGAACTCGGGACCTTTGGAAGAGCAGGCAGTGCTCTTAAACCTCTGAGCCATCTCTCCAGCCCAATATCTTTCTTATATTATGAAGCCTGTGGAGCTTTTACTATGAAGTATGTTGTAAAATCCACTATTATAAAACAATTTCCCCATGGTGAATACCATCATAATTGAATAATTGAGATTTGTTAGTAATGTTGTAAAGAAAAAAATAATGTAAGTTATTTTTTATTTTATTTTATTTTTTTTGAGACAGCGTTTCTCTGTGTTGCTTTGGAGCCTGTACAGGAACTCACGTTGTAGACCAGGCTGGCCTCAAACTCACAGAGATCCTCCTGGCTCGGCCTCCTGAGTGCTGGGATTAAAGGCGTGCGCCACCACCACTCAGCTGTAAGTTTTAATAATAACTTAAAGATTAAAGCATTAAGTGACCTTAACTGGCTTTGAAAGGGTTGATGCAAGCAGTCCCTCACTATACTCTCCCTGCATTTCCTGTTAAGGTGTGACTTGATACTTAAATAAAAGTCATCGAAGTGAAATCGTGTTTAACTTTTTCTCTTTCTTGACCTTCTTTAGGGTCCTCAGTAATATCCAGGAAAGTAATGGGTATCAGAGTCCCCAATGCTGAGCCATTCCCCATTTAGATGATACTTCTGAGAAGTTTTTGTTTGCGTCTTTGACAGAGTCGATTTACACTTGGCCTGTTGTAGCACTCAAATTGTGTTATAGCAGAGTAGTTATACAATATAGTAGATACTTGAAATTCTGTAATTGGTGGAACCCTGATGTATCCCCAGTTTTTGATATATGATACTTAGAAATAGGTGCTAAGAGAGTATCTCTTGAAGGTACTTGGATGTGACCTAAGTTATGAGAGTATGATTATAATGTGCTTTGTTTTTAAAGTTACAACGTTTTTTTGCATTAGTGATGTATTTTGACTTTTCTGATACTTGGACACGTTAAACTGGCTTTATTTCATAATTAGAAGGAAACTTGTCTCTAGAAATCCAGAGCACGATATCTGAGTTTATCAAGCACACATAACTAGAGTCCCAGACAAGGCTTTGCATTCTGGTGTTAACACCTCCACGAGTAATTGCCTTGACCTACATATCTAAGATGGATTTCCTGTCTGACGTTGGTGTTAAACACATGGTTTGTTTCTGTGTAGTACTTTAAAATGCATGCAAACATAGAGCTACCTGTATATTAAAATGATTTTGTTTTTACAGGAAGGACGATAAAGACTACGCTTTAAAACATATAGAAGGAACTGGAATCTCTATGTCGGCATGCAGAGAGATAGCAGTAAGTGAAGTTTTCGTTATTACCATGTCAGTTGACTTATGAATGTCAGCTGTGCAGATCTCTGTTGTATTTACCATCATATGAGTTGAAAGCTGGTAAATATTTTTCTAGACAAGTATTTACAGAAAAAAATTAAGAAGTAAAGGTGGCATGTAATTCTTGCAATGTATACATTTATTTATTTGTGGTAAAATTAATTTTGGTTGTTGATGTGAATACCCTCCTCCAATAAATATCACTAATTAAACTTACTGTTGTTACTTAGTTCTGGTCAATGACATTTGTTACATCCATCAAGCTAACAGTTTTCTGTGGCTAGGGTGGGATTGATGTCTTCATGAGCACCTGTTAAAATTGAGATTCTGTTGTTTTATTACCACCATGTCCATTTTTCTTTTGGAAGCACAAGCTTTCCATGTGGTAATTAGAATCTCCTTACTTAAAAGGAAGTGTTCTTATATAAATACGGTTAATAATTGTGCATATATTTAAACTAAACATTGCATCCTTGAGATTGACTTGAGGTTTTTCTTCTATAAAACTCTGGCTCTGAGCTATTGAGATGCTCTGTAGATAAAGGTTCTTACTCCCAAGCCATATGATTTAAGTTCAGTTCCCAAACCTGAGTGGTAGAATTAGAGGACCAGCTCCCACTAATTTTTCTCTGACCTTCAAATACACACGCTCAGTGATGCAAACACACGTACAATGACAATAAATTTAAAAAAAAATTTGTGATTCCAAATGCATGTTTCCTGACTCTGTAATCAGACCATACCATGAATCACAGTGTCTGCCTGTGTTATTGTTTTAGTTTTCCTGTCTGTACATAAATGTGGCTTCTGTAATCTAGGAATACTCGTTTAAATAGTCACACTCATTTTACAGTTTCATGTTAATGTATCTTCAAAACCGGCCATTTGTTAACAGAACATTTTAAAGTAGGAAAAATTAAGATACACAAATTTGGGTCTCCATTTTTGAGTATTTTTACACTGCTGGGAAAAGAGACTCATAAATCTTAACAGTACAAATAAGTGAGCCTGGTGTTATGATAGAAATATATGGGGAAAGGAAAGAATGCTTGTTGAGTAGAGAGTTGGCAATGGATCTATCTCCATGGTTTCTTCAGCAATAGGACTTAACCATTTCTCTTGTAGCAGGCTTTCTTTTGGGACCGCCAACCAGTTCCCAAATAAAGACATGGAAACTTATTATGAGTTATGAATGCTCAGCCTTAGTTTAGGCTTGTCCCACTTGTTGCAAGCTGGACCACGTTGGGCTGTCATACGTGAGGTGCCACCTTTTTGGCATGACTTTTGCCAGGCTCCTAGCCATGTGGGTGCGGTTCATACGGTCCAAGGTAGGGGCGTGGGGCTTAGAAAAGTTAGGTAGGAAGAACAGAGATAAAGAAACACAGACACGGGCTGGAGAGATGGCTCAGCGGTTAAGAGCACTGCCTGCTCTTCCAAAGGTCCTGAGTTCAATTCCCAGCAACCACATGGTGGCTCATAACCATCTGTAATGAGGTCTGGTGCCCTCTTCTGGCCTGCAAGATACAGACAGAATATTGTCTACATAACAAACAAATAAACAAACAAACAAACAAACAAACAAACAAACAAATAAATAAATATTTTAAAAAAACACAGACACTTAGGATAGTATTGGGAGGGCAACTCTGTGAATACTGAATGCTGAATTCCTTTTCTGAGTTCTGAGTACACCCACGTTTATTTTTCTTTTTTTTTAAAGATTTATTTATTTATTTTTACAGTGTTCTATCTGCATGTATGCCTGAGGGCCAGAAGAGGGCATCAGATTTCATTAAAGATGGTTGTGAGCCACCATGTGGTTGCTGGGAATTGAACTCAGGACCTCTGGAAGAACAACCAGTGCTCTTAACCTCTGAGCCATCTCTCCAGCCCCCCCACGTTTATTTTTCTATACATTTTTATACCCCAATACAAAAGGGGAAAGAAGGCAAAAGACTGCTTTAACATAATACAGAGAACAACCAGCTCAGTTACTTGTCCCAGTGCTTCACATCAAGTTATTAATTCTTGAGAAAAACATTCTGTTGTTTAAGAAGTGAACCCACCAAGTATCCCGAAGGCAGCTAGTCCTAGGTCAAATTTTCTATATCAAAAGAAGGGGCAGAAGTATTCTTTGGTTAGGGTGGAGAGGATACACCTCTATGGGTCATCTTAATGTCCAAAATACCAAGTAACCACACCCTAGATCAGGGTGTGTAGTCATAGTTGTGTCCACAACTTGGAGCAAGCCACATCTCTGACCTTCAGACAAGGTGGAATGGGCTCACACTTTGAGCCTTCACACCCATTAGCTCTTACAATTTATTTTGACAAGTTTTTCTTCCTCTGCGTTTTGCCTTGGGCCTTTTTTATCTTTCTTTCATTCTGTACATCCCACTCTGTGTCTGGTTGGCTGGCCCCTTTCTCCCTTGTTCTCTTTTTTTTTTCTCTCTCTCTGTCTGTCTCTGTCCCTCTTTCTCTCTCTCTCTCTCTCTCTCTCTCTCTCTCTCTCTCTCTCTGCCCACTTAACCCTCTACTGCCTAGCCTTTGGCTGTTCAGCTTTTTAGTTAGACCAGTCAGGCACCTTAGACAGGCAAAGCTACACAGTAAGTGTAAAATTTAATGTGAAGCTTTTCTGGATATGTTGCTATTTATTTGATTGCTATTTTTTTTGTGTGTTGAGAGAGAAAGACTGTTTTAGAGGTACATACTCAAATACTTATTGGCGAAATAGTATAATATCTGGAATTTAATTCAAAATAAGTCAAGAGGTGGAGAGAAGAATGAACTTGAATGTGGATAAAATGACTCTGAGTGGCAGGCTTAATAAAAGGTAAGGAAGGAAAAGAATTCCATCTTTGTTTTACTGCCTTCTATTAAACCCTTCAGTTCCTCCCCGACTCCCCCCTTTTAGCAACTTGCTCACATTCAGTCTGGTTCTTTTTTGTTGTTGTTGTGTTTTGTTTGTTTGGGGTTTTCTGTGGTTTGTTTTTGTCATTGTTATTGTTGTTTGCTTTGTTTTTTCAAAACAGTTTCTCTGTGTAGTGCTGGTTATTCTGAAACTCACTCTGTAGACTAGGCTGGCCTCGAACTCACAGAGATCTGCCTGCCTCTGCCTTCTAAGTGCTGGAAAGACATGCACCACCATCTCCCGGCTCAGTTTGATTCTTTAGTAATATTTATTACAAATAAAAACCTTAGGATTTCTGTTACTCACTTTGAACTATTGCCATCCCTTTAGGGGGTAGCCTGTGACACATATCAACAGCATGGCCTAGGAGAGAATTTTGAGATTCTTCGAAAGCTCTCATTTTTTTGTGAGCTGTTTGCTACATTCATTTCCAGAATTCCTGTGGGCTGGAATCCCTTTAACTTAGTGTACTGGCTAACTGTACAGCAGGTATCAGTTGCCTACCACCAGTATATGCAAGAGTATCTGATAGATGGGGTGAGTCCATATTTAGACGGCTTTCACAATGCACTTGCACATCAACCTCAGCATTTCTGTTTTTTTTTAATCAGTTTTTAAGAGTTTGGTTGAAGAAAGATTTTCAAATTAATTAAAAAAAATAATTTGGAATAATTAAGGTTCAGTTTAATTATTAACATGATTAAGGTATACATTTAAAACCTGGTTATGCTTTTAGAAATTGTTAGAATACAGTGTCAAGGTTGTGGAGATGGTTTAGCTGGCAAAGTACTTACCTTGCAATCACAAAGACCTTTATTTATTTTTTAGCATCCAAGTAGAAATGCCTGCCATGGTCATATCAGGGCATGTTTTGTAATCCCAGTGCCCAGGAAATAAAGGCGGGAGGCACCCTGGGCTTGTTGGCTGTCCAGTGTACTGTAATTGGAGAGCTCCAAGCAGTGGAAGACTGTGTCTCAAAGGAGGTGGGCAGCATGTCTGAGGAAGACACCAGAGGTTGTCCTCTGGGCTGTACACACATCCATGCACACACACACATACACACACACACAAATCCATAATTTTTTAAGAAAAAAAAACACTGTCATTTTGAAAATATTACAAGTTTTCTTACCTAGTTTCTTCCTCTTCACTTTGAGACATTTTGGCATTGTATGTTTCTAAATATTACTATTTTTTATACTTTACCAGTTTAAATTAAATATAACTGCAGTAAATCAGGTTTATAGTGAATGATATATTCAAAGCAGGCAAATATTCAGAAAACTTAAAAGTTTTTAGTCCCTGGGATCCACCTGTCTCCACTGACCAGCTCTGGGAATACAGGCATGTACTGCCATGTCTGACTTAATAAATACATTATTGATGATGATGTTTTTAACTTAGGATGGGTTTATCAGAATGTAAATCTATTGTAAGCTGAGGAATGTCTCTCTATATAATGGTATGCTTTCACCTATAAAAGAGGGAGGGGAAACTGCTACATGCTACAACAAGGATAAACCTTGAAGATAATACTGAGTGAATGAGCCAGACAAAAAGGATAAGTGTGAAGCTGGTGGGTAAAGTGCTTTCAAGGTACTGAGTTTAATCCCTAGGATCTACCAAAAAAAAGTAGGTGTGGTGGTATATGCCAGTGCTTGTAATCCCAGTGCAGAGGAGGTGGGGATGAACTGGCCAAACCCAGGCCAGTGAGAGATCCTATCTCAAAAATAAATAGATGGATGCATGAATAGATGGATGACTAAATAAATGGGTTGGGGAGATGGCTCATTGGTTAAGCACTTGCTGTTCTAGAGGATAAAACTGGTCACCAGCACCCACATCAGGTGGCTCACAACCGTTTATTATAACTTCAACTTTTGGGGATCTGGCTCCCGATTTTCATCTGCGTGGGCCCTGCACATGTAGCAGACACACAGATACACCTAAAAATCAATTAATCACATGGATGGCATTTCAAAAGTGATACCCAAAGTTGTCCTTCCTCCTGCCAGCTCCTCAGTACCAATAGTACAGGTACACTTGTCAACACAAATAAGAAAGACAAGGTGTTATGAGAACCTACCAACACTAGGTGTTTGCCATAGAAACCCTTAGGGACAGGTACTAGAGTTTACCTAGAACTGGGTCATTGACAGATACAGCATTTCTGCTTGGAATGTTGAAAACATTTTATAGTAGTGATGGTTTATTCAACAGCATTGAATAATGCCACCAATCTCTGGACTTAAACATGGCTAAAATTGTAATTTTGATAAAAAGTTAAAATTACCAGTCAAGCAACAAATGACAGATTTACTGTTACCCCTTTTCAGTATCTTTTTCCCTGCAGGTTTTTCTGTCACATCACACTATGTGGGTATTGACTGTATGCTTAATATCAGTAAGCATTGGTTTTGTGTTGCCTTTAAATTGTAACTGGGATGGGGGATGGGTGAGGTCTGAGATGGAGCTCTGCTTTGTTGCTCAGGCTGGCTGTGGACTCCTGGGCTTCAGGTGGTCTTTCTGCTTCAGAATTTATCTTTGTAAACCTTCGTTCAGTTCGTAGCAGCAAGGTAGAAATGCCTACCACGGCGGTAGCAGGGAATGCTCATAATCCTTGAATAGATATGTGCTACCACACCTAATTTGGTGTGAATCTTTTTTTTAAAGCTATTAAAGGTTTGTGTTAAATTTTGAATGAATCTCCTTTCTTTTGTAGTTACTTCGAGAGCTTAAGCACCCAAACGTCATCTCTCTTCAGAAGGTGTTTCTGTCTCATGCTGATCGGAAAGTATGGCTTCTCTTTGACTATGCTGAACATGACCTCTGGGTAAGGTGGACTGCTGGTAGCCAGGACTGTGTTCAGTCAGCTTCCACTGCACTAGAAATCTCCTCACTGGAAGCTTTTGCTTTGTTCAGTGGGTCAAGTTGCCTTACTAAGATGCAAGGAAACGGAAGGGTTTCAGATGTGGGGTGGGTGTTTGCATGCGTTTAATGAGATATCTTAGAGGCTGAACTCACATCTAAACTTGAAATTCACTCGTGTTTCAGTTTTATATTTACCTTATACATATAGCCTGAAGGGAATTTCATACAGTGTTTATAACAATTTTGAATGTGAAACAGTGTTTCATGGTGTGGAATCATGTTAGCTCTCACAAAGTTCTGGATGTTGAAGCATTTTGAGTCTTCAGACTAGGGAGACTTCTTTTTGATCGTGGCGTATTGGCCTTTGTAACAGACAGTAAAGTAAGAGGAATGTGACTGAACATTGCAGAGCATTGTTTTCTAATTACAGAGTTGATTTTAAAAGGTGAGCTTGTTTACTATAAGGTTTTGAAAGAACTTATTTTCTTTTATTCTGTAATGTAAAGGACTTTAAAATGAAGCAGTACTTGTTGGGTAAGCATGCTATAAAAGGATAAACGGGTCTGGTTACTGTCCCTGCCCCTGTACTGTGACACTGGGAAAGTCTCCTAATAGTCCCGGAGCTGTTACAAGCTGTATAAGCTAAGTGTGGAACACTTACTAATCATTTAATGTATTCCATTTTCATTGGCAATAATATGCTGTACTGCTGATGAGAGCCACACTACAAAACAAGATTTGTGCAGAAGTGGGTTGCAGCATCTCTTGTGGATTTGTTTCTTAAGTTTGTGTGGCCTATGGCCTTTTTACATATTTAGACCCAAATTGTGTATTGCAGATTTCTCAAATGGGGATTACAGTTTACCAGTTTAGTCAAATCCATAAAAGACTCATACTGTATTGATAAGAATGTAAATGCATCTTACCTTAAATACACAAAATAAAAACATTTCCTATCACCCATGTTCATGCATCCAACCTTAATTAAAGTTAGTGAGTCACACACATAGTATAGGACATGAAAGCAGAGGGGACGTCTAAGGATATATATGGTAGTTATTTATTGTTATTTAGTGTGATGTAACAAATATTTTATATATGTTATATTGCATACAATTTGATATATATAAGTAATTCATAATTGCCTTTTTCATTTTACTAATACTTATGAAGGCAAATGAATATTTTAATAAAAACAGGATCGTTCATTTCCCTAAAACTTTACTCTTCCCCCTACTTTAATTGGAATATAATATGTGGATTGACTGGCATAAGGTAGCAAAAGTTATAATTAAGAGTTGTTTTGAAAATCATTTAGGCATTGGTGAGATTTATAGCCTGTTTACTGTGTATTTGATTTTTTTAGCCTTGGAATGTGAAGAATATGAGGCAAGAGATTCCCATGCTATAGGATTTCATTTATTTATTGTTTTTAAAATGTTAGTTTTTTTTTTTTTTTTTAATCACTGTAGTATTTGGCATGTGACCTGAAGAAATACACTTTCAATTCTCTTACCTTCGCTACTTGGTTTTTATTCTGGGAAACTTGAAGCTTTTAAGTTCTTTAATGTACTCTACTTAAACCTATTTTTATTACATTTGGAGAGTCAGCGGATTTTCTTCTTACTGGCTCAAACTTGATAGCACATTTTAAGATAGGTGATACATATTCTAAATTATTAAGTAATGCCTGAGGTAAAAAACTGAGAAGAAAGTTAAGGTAGCCTGGTGCTGTTATTTAAATATAGACAGGCATGTACTAACCAGTGAGTTTCTGTTCTCACTGCAAATGGCTCTGCTACATTTCCCCCTTTGGAAATACAGCTCTTTGGCTCACAGCTTACTAGTTATTCCTTCTGTCTGTTATTCTGATAACATCAGGTAGAAGACCAGATGTTAGCCTGCAGTGTTAAGCATCACACTTCTACTCTTTTTTTCTTTAACCACAAGAATCAGCTTAATGATGAAGAACCCCTGTGCAGTATGTGCTAGACATGAGTGTGCAGTGGTTAGCATGCAGAGCTAACCCTGAAATTTACAGGTGTTGTATAGAAAATAGAGAAGCTCATCGCGAGCTTGAAACATTGGAGAGGAAGAAACCTTTTCATGTACATTTATTTGCGAAGTGTTTTAATTGATGAAAAGTTCTCTCTAATTGTCTAGTCACGTGTACAGAGAAAGCTTTGCAGGGTGGCAGGCTTTTTCCTCATCTGGATCCTTTATGTTTCTAAGTATATTTAGCTTTAACTGGCTGTGTACTTGTTACCATTGTTTTAGTTTCTATATGTTGGGTGTGTTTTACTGAAATCCCCATTTCATATCGTGTGAGTGTCAGAAATTGTGCTGTTCCATCTGTCAGAATTTTGTCTTTCCCTTTTTTATTGAATCTTTACAGAATAAAAATGGTTTTGTTCATGAAAATTCCTGCTAGATAAACAGGCCCATAGTGCCCCCAGTATAATCATCTTTAGTTATATTTTAAAGTGTAGAGCACCCTAGTTCCTGACGTCTTCGTTTCCTGAGATGCCATCACTAGCTTTAAAAATGGAGCTGACCATTTTTGTTGTCAGTGTCTTGGGTGATCTTGGCATTGCCTTTTCTTACTCGTAAAGCTTTTTGTGGTATTTTCTTTCTTTCAGCATATAATTAAGTTTCACAGAGCTTCAAAAGCCAACAAGAAGCCAGTTCAGTTACCTCGGGGAATGGTGAAGTCACTGTTGTACCAGATCCTGGATGGGATTCATTATCTTCATGCCAACTGGGTGTTGCACAGGGATTTGGTGAGTCACAGTTGGGTTCAACTAGGAAATATGTTTATAGTGGGCACTTTCCCCATTGTCTGTAGAAAATCTTGCCATAGGTAAGTAGGCGGGCAGCTCTTGGGGCTTGGTGGTGTGTGAGCATGCAGTAGTCTTGTCCTTGTGCTGTTTATAGGACACACTTACAGGAGGTGGTCATCAGCTATGTCCTCTATTGCTTTCTTCACTGTTAGCTTAGACAGTGCTGCTTAGTGGACTTAGTTCTGGCCCTTTCCACTAGACTAGCTGGTTAGTGAATCCGAGCCCTGAGAAGCCCAGACACCCACTGTCTCCACTATTTGTAGAGTTACAGCCATACTTGGCTGTTGAATGAGTGCCGGGAGTCCAGGGCCTCACGCATGTGCAGCATGGACTTTACCTATTGAGCTGTTTTCTCAGCCCTTGTTTGCTTAAAAAAAAAAAAAACTAAAGTATTATTATTCATTAATTCATTAAGTCTCCATAGGTTTAAATTACTTGGATTGCTTTCTTGTTATATAAGTAAATGTGGGGTTTTGTTTTTTAGTTCTTTTCTTTGTAAAGGTATTAACTTAAGTCAGCTTTAGAGCAGCGCTCTTGTTTTAATGCGCAGTGCAGGAATTTTGTCTCTCACCACATGTGTACATAAGAACAAATTCACAGACTGAAATGGAGCCACAGGGCCACTGTGCTGTGGTTCTTTCAGTCTCTAGTCTTGCATGAGTGATTCCAGTGAGCTGCTTTCCTGGAGCCTGAGGTAGTCCTGTCAAGAGCGTTGAGCATGAGTCATTTTGTCCTGGCCTTCACACCACAGTGCTTTCAGGACCAGTAGCAAAGAAGTTTGCTTGAGTCCTTTTCTTTATGCAAACTCCCTTCCTAATGGAATTGAAATATTGTACGTAGACACAGTGGGTTTTAGGACAAAAATAGATAAATCTTTCAGTTTTTTATGACGTTAAAGATAAATCTCAATAACAGACTTCTGTTTTCTCTGTCTGCTTTGTACTACCAGCTTTCTTCGTGACTTGTAAAAGAATGAAAATTCCAGTGAAAGGACATTTTCCTCATAAAACCAATTAAGCTAGAATAGCTCTACATTTTGCTTAGTTTTGTTTGTTCTTTTTAGTAATTCACATAAAAATAGATGTTTATTCAGGAAATTCTGAGTGGCTTTCCTAAGTTTGTCACTTGACTGCTTGAGTAGAATGAATTAAAAACAGTAACAAAGTAGCTAGAGGTCCAGTTTCCCCTCTCTTTTGGTGAAGCTCTTATACAGTGTAGAAATACTCTCCGTGACGTGGGCTAGTGAAGAATAGGTTCTTTTAGAAGGCTCTGGTAAAACCATCTCAAGCATAAATGGTTTGGGAGACCAGAGCACCTTAACAGAAGGCAACAAAAAGATCTATTGTCTGTAGATCCTGTCCAAATAATAATGACGAATACCAAAGATTAATGGTGTTGTCATTGCGTGCTAGCAATGCTGAGCAGTCTTCTGTAGCCCTCTACAGTGAGGCGCTGTGCTCCACTCCATTATCCTTCTATATACAGCACTACCTGACTAGTATACAGAATGTTCTTCATATGGCAGCACCTCCTCTTGTGACTTCCTTCCTTAAAATGAGATGTCCCTGATGTTCTCTGCTGGGTGTATCAGTGCTCTTTTTAAAAAAATAAATTTTATTTATTTTGCATCCCAACTGCAGTTTCCCCTCCCTCCTCTCCTCCTAGTCCCTCCCTACCACTGCTCTTCTGCTTCCTTCCCCCAATCCACTCCTCCTCCATATCTGTTCAGAGAAGGGCAGGCCTCCCATGGATGTCAACAAAACATGGCATATCAAGTTGCAGTAAGACTAAGCACCTCCCCTTATATTCAGGCTGACCAAGGCAACCCAGTATGAGGTAGGGTTCTAAAAAACAACAAGAGTCAGAGACAGTTCCTGTTCCCACTGTTCAGTGTCACACAAGAAGGTCAAGATAAACCACTGTAACATGTGCTGAGGACCTAGGTTGGTCCCATGCAGGCTCCCTGGTTGTTGTGGAGGAATTGCTGTGTTGTGGTGACTCCACATTTAACTGTGGGAGGAACTGCTGCTCTTTTCGACAGCAGTTAAATCATTTTACATTCCCACCAGAAGAACAAAAGGGCTAAACGTCCTTACTGATATCTGCATGAAAAGTTCTCATGAACTCCTCCTCACAGTCAAAAGTCATGTGGAACGCCTTCTATGGATAACCAGATAATAGGAGAGAAACATGGAAGTAACTTATCCCAACTTCTTGAGCTAGAACCTCTAGGGATTTGTTTGTATAGAAAGATTAACACTTCAGCTTGGCTGGGCCACAGTGCCCAGGTTTTTGGTTTGAGTCAAACATTATTCTAGATATCTCTGTGAACTACAGACCTGAAACCAATTCTGGGAGGTAGCAGACCTTTCAGAAGGGTAGGCCTGGTGGTGGAACCCTTGTCATGGCTCACTAGAAACTCACTCTTGATGGGCGTGGGAGCCTAGCCTCACCGCTTCCTCTTCTACTTCCTGGCAAAGGTTTTATTCCATCTCTCATTCCCCATCATCGTCACCTAACCAACCAAAGGCCCAAAGCAATAAGGTCTGTCTACTATGAACTGAGAGATCCAAAATACATCTTTTCTTTTTGTAAGTTAATCATGTCAAGTATTTTATTACAGTGCTGCAAAGCCAGTGCCCTCCTTCCTGTGAGAAGGTATCTAATCAAATAACGGCTCTCATAGAAAGACTGACTGCGAGCAACAAAGAATGCACCAGCAGGGGCTTGCATGTCCAACTTAATTCTACATCTTCCTGGATCTCTACCTTGTAGTCTATCCTGCAGATTCAGAATAACTAGGCCTCTAAAATGCACAAACCAGTTTCCCAAAATAAACTGCTTTCTATGTCTCTATGCCCACACCCTGTGTGTTCTGCTGCTCTGGAAAAGCCTAACATGAACAGGAGCAGCAGAGACAGAATTGTAACTGCTACAAACATTCTCACTGCCTAGAAGCAGGGAAAGGATGAGAGGGAGCCACCAGCACAGGGAGAGGCAAGGTGTAAGACATGTACCTTTGCTTTAATGACTAGCTAGGTAGACAGTTTCCTTCTCTAAGTATCTGTGATCAATTGTGAAGAACACTTTGATATCTAGATCAGTATTTTCCATGAACTTAACATTGATATTGAAAATGCATAGTGAGCTGCATTCTGTCCTTTGTAATGTTTTCTCAGAATTAGAGCTGCAAACTGTGAGTGTGTATGTGTACATGGACCTTTACAGGAGAGGTGGCTGCTCGACAGCTTAGAGGCCACTGTCCTAACACGGTGTTAGAATCTTCTATCGAAAATGCTTATTTTAAATGATGTCTTAAAGATTTTCTTGAAGTAGACTTGAAGATGATGTTGAATGACTTTTGAAGCTGATGAAATATAGAGGATTGTTTGAGTTAGGCATGTTTTCTCCATTTTCCATATGACCTATGGGAATACATTGTTATATTTTAAGTTAGGTGACTGCTCCTATTTTTTGAACAAAGTAGATGGCAGTAATGTTTCCAAAAACAGGACCAGTATGTGTGTGTTTCTTAGGCTTCTTGTTACTAGACAGGATAATTTTCCAGGACTCAGCTTACCTGATATATATAAACTGTATGTTACCTGCTGAGATACATGGTGGGCTTCCAGGCTTTTTTCTTTTGACTTTTAGGCTTCTCACATTACAAAAGAGAAATACCGTATTTATAGATAGACAAAACACCATAAAATAGTTTTTCTGAATAGGATTTAAAATTTTTCTGAATTATCCTGTTAAAGCATATAAAAACGGTCTTAATTGTGCTACTTAAAAAGCATAAAAAGTAGACCACCCAGTCTAACTTTTTAGCAATTGTTATACCTTAGATTTTTGTTATAGTCCAGATTTCTAAAGACTTATAAAAGAAAACCTGATTTCCAAAGATACTTTGTAGTTTTTTAAAGTTTTCTCAGGTCAGGGTAAAGTGCCTGTCTTAAGGCATGAGGATCAGAGCTTCATCCCCCAGCACTCAAATACAGAAGCCAGGACTGTGGTGCATACCTGTAATCTCAGCCCTAGGGAAGTGGAGATGGGTGGGTCACTAGGTTTCTAGTCTACTTAGTGAGTTCTGGCCAATGAGAGATCCTGTCTTTAAAAACAAGGAGGACAGCACCCAAACCTTGTTACTATTTCTGAATCTATTTTAAAGCTCAGAGCCACAGAAATCTTTGATAATGTTTTTTCCAGTTTGTCCATGGGAAATAATCAAATAGAGGGCAAAGGTGAGTGAGTGTTCCCATAGAAGCAAGCTTGTGAAGCTAGCCATATTGCAAAATTGCTGATTTTTCCCTAAACTCGTGTAAATTTTTGTAAATGTTGTTTGAGTCAACACACAAGGGTTTTTTTTTGTATGTTTGTTTATTTTTGAGTTAATAACCGAAAGTATGTTGGGTACAATTAGATGCAAAATCAGCGTCACTTAGTGGACTACTGAAGGTACTGAAAGGATGCGTATTGCTGTCTGGCCTTCCTCCCCCCCCAGTGTATGTACTGGGCTTTGTTTTCCCTTTGCACAGTGATCATGCTGCTCCTGCATCAGCTCTGGTTTTAACTCATGTGTAACTGAATGGGCTTTTATGTGTCAGTGTGTGTGTGGGGGGGGGGGGATGACGACAGGACATGCGTGTGTGTGCTCTGCCTATTTTAAGTTCTAAGCTCATAGTTTTTAATTTTCAGTCTTTCTAAATTATAGATAAGCTTGTAATTTCAATCAATACCATTTAGCATGCATATTTAACAAAAATAAGGGATATGGAAAACAGACTAGTTTGTCTTGACTCTGCCTAAATATCTCTTCATAGAAGCAGATAATTTGAAATAAAAACCATTTATTTGCTTGTCTGTTTATTGTACTCCCCAGCTTCCTGTTGAAAGGTATCATCTGTATAAGCACCCAAGTTTCTTGCCTGCTTGGTTAATTCTTGATGAAACCTTTTGAGGGATGACCATGTTATCTCCTTACATAGCCCCAGTGAGCTTGGTTTTCTCTCCTCAACATAGACATGGTTACAGGACTGTTACCTGTTAGGTGAGGATTGCAGTTTACAGCACTTTGAACTTTGATCTTTGTGAAATCAAATGCTAAAGAGAGGGGAAAACTGAGACTAAAGAAATCGGTAAAAACTGGGGAGAGACAAAGGATATAAAAAAAGAAATTAAGGAAAATAGAAGGATGCATTAGAAAATAATTGATTTTTCTGTCATCAGAGGAAAAAAAGTAAGCCCCAAAATTAAGCCCTGGTTGTGTTGAGCTTGAGGTTTGTTTGAATCTTGGTTCCACCTTTGTAGCCATGGGAAGGATTAGCCACTAATGGCATTGTTGTTGGCGTTCATGTGCTGTGGTGCTAAGAGTCAAAGCCATAACTTTATACTTGGTAGGCACATGTCCCACCATTGAACTCCACTCTCCACCCAAATGAGCTGGATTCTTGTTATCCAGAAGAGAAGAGGCATGTGTACACACAGACGTGTGCAGACACCGTAGTAAAGATTCATAGGAAGCATTAGGAAAGGCTCATGATGTTCAGGATGTGTTTCACTTCCATTATTACATTGCCCCGGAGATGTATGCACAAGAATGGTAATGTCTGCAGTGCAGGTATCTGCTGTGGGAGATGCTGGTTAGGGTTTGGGAGGTTAGGCACAGGGTAGAAAACAGAAAAACCTTCTAGTTGTAAAAGAGAATTGTTAGTGCTTTTAAGGGAAAGGTACTGTAACTTCAAACAGTATCACATCTTTAGTCTTTGTCAGTACCCACTGGGCAGTGATGCTCATTCTCTTCTATTACCATGATGTGAGAATTTCTTAAGTCGCATCGGACATCTGGTTTCCATGGAGTGTGCGCCCCTCACAGTATCACCCAGCAATGTTCTGCATCTTCTTTCAAGGTGACCGGGGCACACCATGAAAAATATTTATCACAGATTTTGGTTCCATCTAGGACTGCTTGGAGGCAGGTCCTGGCTTTGGAAACTAAACTCCTTCCAGATTCTTCTACTGACAACAGGAAGGGAAAAATCTAGTTTTATAGGAAACCAGGTTATTATCTTAATATGGCATTGAGTAATGAAGTAAAATTACCTATCCAATCTTTTGGAGGCTTCCTCAGTTCTGACTAAACAATAACATCAAGTGTTTGACAAGGCTAGTCAAACAACACAACTGCACACTCTCGCTCTTTCTCTCTTCCTCTCTCTCTCTCCCTACACACACACACACACACACACACACACACACACACACACACACACACACACACACACACACACACGGGGGAGGGAGGGAGGGAAGGAGGGAGGGAGGGAGAGAGGGAGAAGAGGCATAGATATAGCATGTCCAAATAAGTCTAAGCCACTTTAAAAGTAATGTGATTTTTGGCACTTTGCTAGATGCCCCAGGTGAAGATTGTGGTGATGATGATAGCAAGACACGCTGATCCAAAGAGCTCTCTGCCTTAGACTGTTCAGAAAAGAATGCTGTTAGGAGGAATCAACAGTAGTCTCTGCACTACATCTGTCTTCCAGGCACTTGCTTTCTGGTGCTGAGTTGCCTCCTCTTAGAAACTAGGAATTTGTAACTTCTGATGCCATAGCCTGCCATTTTAACAGCAGCATCTGTTTTCTTTTTACTTCTAATTTGATTTTTCTAATATTTGTTCATTTATGTTTCATTTGCATTGGAGTTTTGCCTGTATGAAGGTGTTGGATCCCCTGGAACTAGAGTTATAAACAGTTGTTTAGAAAAAGACTATATTAGATTTTTTTTTAAATATTAAACATAGGTTTGTATTTTGTGGCTTCCAAAAAGGAAATTAATTTGCTACTTTGTATTAAATGATATGTGGAGATGAATTTTTTTCTTAAACTCTTAGAGCATTTTATATAATTGAAAGCATGCATCAGACCCGGTGGCTTTTGCCAGAATCCCAGCACTTAGGAGGACAGGGTGTTAATCATCATAAGTTCAAAGCCATCCTGTGTACACCTCAAATTCTAGGCCAGCCAGGACTTCAGAATCAGATTCTCAAAAATAAAACCAAAAGTGGGCGACGGAGACCAGTAGATAGATCTCTGGGAGTTGAAGGCTGCCACTGTGGTCTACATAGACTCAGGCTAGTCAGGGCTACATCATGAGACTCTGAAATAAGAAAGAAAAAGAAGCCGGCCAGTGGTGGCACACATCTTTAATTCCAGCACTTTAAGGCAGAGGCAGACAGATCTCTGTGAGTTTGAGGCCAGCCTAGTTTACAAAGTGAGTTCCAGGACAGGTGCCAAAGCTATAGAGAAACCCTGCCTGGAAAAACAAAAACAGAGAGGGAAGGGAGGGGTGTGGGGGGAGAGGGAGAGATTGATTTCCAGTGCTCCACGGTGAAGACCTGTTGATGATTAAGGGCCTCAGCTGTCTGCTACTGCTGCACTGGGACCTGTGTATGGTTTTACTGTATACACATTCAGTTTCTGCCATGGCTTCCTGCATTTAACTTTAATTTTTTAGTAAAAACTTTTATTTAAGTAGATTTATGTTATATTGACATATTTGTCTATTTAAAGGAAAACTACTGTCTATTGAAAAGAATTTTTTTTGTTTCCACAGAAACCTGCTAATATTTTAGTTATGGGTGAAGGTCCTGAGCGAGGAAGAGTAAAAATTGGTATGTTATATCTTTGATAAGTCACAGTTCAGTACACTTTTAAAATTGTAGGTAGCTGTATCACTGTTTTCTGTATCAATATGCACATACATATTCATAGTTCCAACCGTCAGAAACATTTCACAGGTGTACAGAAAATGGAAAACCTCCAGGTGTCAGACGATCCTTAGAGAACCAACTTCTATAGCTGTAAAGTAAGCCACACAGGCTTCCTCCATCCCTCTGCCTTAGTTAGACAGCCTGTAGAGTGGGCAGCTTCTGTCCCCAGCCACTCTGACTCTTTGATCAGTCTCCTTAGTCAGGTTAATGAGAATAAGCTCTCGTGTTGATGCTCCAGCTGAGACTGCACATGCACAGCCCTTGACCTGCAGGACTGTGCCTGGCCTTGTCTAAGGGCAAGGGCATTCATGGCACTCTGCATCCCTATATCAGATCTCTCCAGGGTGACACTCTGTAAGGACAATCAAATCTATCCTAACCTGGTTGCTTCTTCCATTGTCATTTTGCCAAGCAGTATTTGTCACTTGCATTTGATTTGTTTGGTTTAGGGGTGGAAGACATGTAATTAAGTTATAAATTAGTGTAATTCCGATACAGAATTGTAAGAACACAGAACACAATTAACAGTGGCTTCTGTTGCAATGTTTGATATAAAGCAGAGCCGTGGTTCTCAGTGGTCCTAATGCTGGGACCCTTTAATACAATTCCTCTTGTTGTGGTGACCCCAACCATGAAATTATTTTCGCTGTTCTTTTGTAACTGTATTTTTGCGACTGTTATGAATTATGATGTAAATATCTGTGTTTTCCAGTTGTCTTAGGTGACCCCCGTGAAAAAGGGTTCGACCCACAAAGGGGTCAGAACCCACAGGTTGAGAACAGCTGAATAGAGGCTCCTGTAGCTGTGTCTCCTCCTCACCAGCCCAGTAAAACTCAGCTCTTCACCTCCCCCATCCTACTTTATTAGTCCCCAAATTCACTTTCCACTTTTCAATAAGCTTTTTAAATGCTCTCTTATGATGCAGACGTGGCAACTTCTTAGCTGTGAGAACATGTGATGTACTTGGTGTACTCTGAGCCATTGGCTGTCATTGTTGTCAGACCCTGTCTGTACTTATCTTGGGGCTACCAAATGCTTTTGGCCTTAGATAAGCTTCTGAGGGGATCTCTTCAGTCTGATGTCACAATGTCAGATTCAAATGCCAGTTCAGGGTATGCAGAATAGACTAGACCCAGCCAAAGAACAATTTTAAATGTATCTTTTTTTTTTTTTTAAGATTTATTTATTTACTATATATACAGTGTTCTGCCTGCATGTATTCTGCAGGCCAGAAGAGGGCACCAGGTGTTATTATGGATGGTTGTGAGCTATCTTGTGGTTGCTGGAAATCGAACTCAGGACTCTGGAAGAGCAGTCAGTGCTCTTAATCTCTGAGCCATCTCTCCAGCCCCTTAAATTTGTCTTTTACTGTCTGGTTTAGAAAGATTTTGCATGGCACCTTTAAGACCTCCTTTAGAATTACACTTTTATGTAATTGTGCACAGTGATGGGAGGTTTGGGTGATACTGTGTCTTCGAGCATTCACATTTCACAGAAAACATTAGATAATCTGATTCAAGGTGTTTACTCTTTGCCAAAAATTTGGTTTTCCCCATTCATAATCATTAGTTAAAGGAGAATCTACTTCATTAAAATTATGTTAGAGCAGAACTAAACCTGTCCAGATGGTTGTGAATCTTGACGTCTCCCAGTGGGTGGTAAATAGGGGCCATCCTGTCTTTGTGTTTAGTGACCCTGTATGTGGTGTCATAGATTAGCAGGGCAAGGTCCGTACCTAGTAGCTTGATGGCATGGTACTATTGCCATGAACTCTCTTCAGGGCCAACCTGGGGGCTTGGGTTTGTGATCTTTTGAACTTCTGTCTCATGTGAAGAAGTGTAAGACTGAGAAAAAGCCTTTTCCAACTTAAGTGCCATGAGTTTTAAAATTAAATTAGTGGAATTCTGGCCAAATCGATGAGGAAAATAGTATTAAAATACAATGTGGTCAGCCCTGAGGGCAGCTGTGAGTAGGCTTGTTGATGCCGACAGTGGAAAGCCCCACTCTGCTGTGCCCGTGCTCTGAGAACTGAAGTACAGCTTAATGTCCAACCTGTCTTGTTCGCCCCCCACAAGCTGTGGCCCTCTGAAAGAAATCTGCCAGAGGAGCAGCCTTATGCACAGAGCCTGTCATAACCTCTGTCAAGAACTGAGTGACAGTTTATTCAAAAAGACTGTGGGCTCACGCTTTTTTACATTTCTGTCGGTAAAAGCAGTAAGGTGCTTCATTTGCTGCCCCAGGCCTGAGACATTCTTAATAAACAACACTGGGAAGTGGGGCTGTGTAAGTAAAGTTGACCTGTCTGTTTACTTATGTGGTTTTCTTGTTATTGTTGCAGCTGACATGGGCTTTGCCCGATTATTTAATTCACCTTTGAAGCCTTTAGCAGATTTGGATCCAGTGGTTGTAACATTCTGGTACCGAGCTCCAGAATTACTCCTTGGAGCACGACATTATACCAAAGCAATTGGTGAGTAGGGCTAATTAAAATTATAGAACTTTAATTTTTTTCTGTGAAAGACATATTTTTGTACATGTTTAAGTAACAGACTAAATTATAAAAACAAAACCCCAGAATTCTACCACCCATATATATATGCATTAGCATCCAGGAGCATAGAATTGCACACATCTCTTTTCAAAAAAGGTTCAGAATGTTTTGAGTAAAAATTTTAATTTTATATGAAAAGAGCAAACTAAAAATTTTAAAGTTCTGGAACTTCATACAAATGTTCTTTCTGCTAACTTCTAAAAGACCCTCCAAAATTAAACAAAGTAGGCAAACTTAAGTTAGGACCTTTTCAAAGTCAGGAGCCTGGTAGTCTTGCTTTCTCATGTCCCCATTTATCAGCCGTGTTAGTGGTGTCACGGCACCAGCAGCTCTTCCTCAGTTCCTCTGCTAGCTACCATTGCAAATTGTTGATAGCTAGCTTACACGATCCAGTGAGTGGAAGACCCGCTGCTTCCCCATGACTGATGTCTTTTTCTCTTCATTTTCCCAGAGTGAGTGTTACGGTGAAGTACTGTTTCCCTAGTGTGCTCTGCCCTCTCCGTTTATGTTGATGGTCTTTGGCTTGTTCTGTTGTACAGGGTGGCTTGCAGCCGCTTCTACTGTGACATATAACCTAGGCCTACTCTACCACCTCCCCAAGACATTTTCCTTTTTATTCCTCTAGGCTGTTGTGCTTTCTGCATCCCATGATTGTTTCTTTTATTTTCTTCTCCTGTGACTTTCCTTGGGAGAATATTTTAGGTAAATTGTCTAATTCATAGCATTTCTGGAAAAGACCTTTATTTACTTGATGGTTTAGAGTCATAGGTATCAAGTTGTGCTCTGATATTTCTTTTGCCTTTAGGAAGCAGTGTGGCTAATCCAGTCTCAGGCCAGTCTTCTCAGATTACTGTGGATCACCTAGGCTTGTCCCTTTCTGAAGACAAATGCCATTTCTCATTTCCACATTTGACAGCGTTTTCTGGACACAGTCATTCAGCTCATATCTGGTGTCTCTGGACAATTCTTAAGGTATATGGTCCTTTGATTTCCCCTCGGAGATTTCTGTTTCTCTCTTCCTGAATGTACATTTAGGAGATGCTGCCTCTTGGTGGTTTCCACTGTGCTTTTTCTCCTGATGCCTTTCTGCCTTTCTTGGGTGCCCCTTTTCTGACGGTGACTCTTCGTGGCATCTTGTATTTGTTTATGAGAAGAAAAGCTTTGTTAGTGTCTTTGAAGGGATCACAGCACTTGTTTGTGATTTGCAGTGCACCCTAAGTTATTACCTGCCTGGTCTGATTTTTAATTTATTGAGTTGGAAGATAATTGTTCTGTGTTCTGGGGAGTTGGCTATTGTCCTTTCAGAGCTTCTGGAACTGCTTTAGTGCCTGTAACCCTGAAGTCTTCAGCACACTGAAGCTCACTGTTTGCTCAAAGCCATGCATTTGTCTTTCCTGTCTGCATGTCCATTTTGGGGGATGGAGCAAGGGCAGACTGAGGGACAGACTACAGGTATAGAGACATGTTATTGTAGTGCTTCTTGAAGCAATTTTCTTGCGGATGTAGCAGGAAGTCCGGCATCTTCCTGGTCACCACACCACTGAAAGACATTTCTTGTCTACGTAGGCGCCCTCCATGGCTTCTTTGAATGTCTTAAAGCCTAGACCCATGTTCCTGTAGTAGCGAGTAAAGTTCTTGCCAGTTTCTTCCTGCAGGCACCTCTTGCTTTGAAAGTTTGGGCTGTTATTAGTAAACATGCTCAGTCTGAATGTCAGCCGTTTTCCCAGCAACCTGAGGAAAAAACCTGTGTTTTCTTTCTGGGCTCTGTTTTCCATTTGTGTCTTCATTTCTCTTCTGGTTCTAAGTGTCCCTTAATTACTTAGATGATTCCTAGTTTCTCTTATTTGTACTTACGTTACAAAAACTCCTTGTGTACTCTGTTAGATCATGGGGCACATAGGTTGTGATTATGCTTTGCAAGTTCTACAACAGTTAGCTATCACCCCCAGAGACCCCAATGCCAGGATGGAAGAGTCTGTGTTCTGAGGCCAGTCAGACTTAAAATCTCCTGGCTTTTGGCACAATTGCTGATTATCAAATGGCTGAGGACATTGGTAGTCAGTGGGGAGAAGGGCCATCTGTGTTGAAACAGTTCTTCCCACTTTGACATGTCTGTATAGTTTTGAAGGACAATCTGCTGCTCATGTACCATGCTGTAGACTGAGGTCTTTTTTGCACTCTTTCATCTGCTTTCCATGGTCCAGAAATGTCTGCCGCATCTGTTAACTTTGGTCGAAATTCTGTCTTATCACAAAGAGCTTCTGAAATCATGATGTCTGGGATAACCTTGCTCCCTCATCCCTATCACATTCTCAACTTTCTTTGTTTGAGATTTTGTTTGTTTGTTTTAAAAACAGAGTTACCCCTTGCAGCTCTGACAGAGCTGGCCCTCACTCTGTAGATCAGGCTGGTCTCCAACTCAAAGAGATCCACCTGCCTTAGCCTTCTGAGTGCAGGGTTTAAAAAGTGTGTGCCACCACCACCAGGCCATACTATGGATTTATATCTATTAAGCTTTTGTTCATATTTCTATGTAGTCTCTAGATGGAAAAGGGGGCTGCTTGTCATCCTCCTCTGAGTTAATCTTGAATCTATCATGTCCCTTTTCTTGGCAAATACTCTATTAAGTTCACTTATGCTCTTAATCTACTTTGAGGTTACATTTTATTTTATAGAAAAACAATTATAAAGATAAGTCAGATATGAAAAATATCTCTCTACATGCAGCTTTGTATAAATCTAAAATTGTTCCAAAATATTTTAGAAAAAAAATATTTAAGCTATTAACTGTTTTTGAATATGTGCTGTTAACTAAACACATTTGAATCTTTTGTGAAAATACTCTTAGAACAAATTGAAGATGACTTTCTCAACTAATATGACAGTTATTTTTTCTTATCAAAGAATTTGATATTTCAGAGCATTGTTACTTTTGGTAGGCTCTTACACTATACAAATAGTGATGTGATTACCAAAGTTTAGCCCTCAATCACTGAGCACCTGAGACTTCATCTGTTTCTCCCATACTGTAGTTCAGCAGTTTCAATTGAGCAAAGAGAGTAGCAATGGCTCTCTATAGGATTGTCCATTTATTGCTGACTCCTGGAGAGTATGTTCAGTCAGACATGCCATCTAATCCTTCAGTGTTATTTCTGAAAATGAGAATCCAGCTAGAGTCAAATGCTTACATGGACTGCATGAACTTACACGAAGTACCATGAACTGCAAGGTCTATGGCTTTATTTAGAAACATTTGCCTTATGCAGTAGGAGTCAGGAAGGGAACTGACTTGGTTACAAATGGCTAGAATCAAGGCCATTGTCATTTCTTCAGCAGTGGTGATCACTGGCCATGTGCACCTGATTTGACCACAGTGCCTTTTGGAGACTACCTCATTTCTATAAATACATTGCTTCAAAGAGCTATAACATAGTGTCTTTCTTAGATGTTGTTTGAATCGGAGAGGTTATATGCTAGCCATTTTCAACATTTTAAAATAAGAGTGAGGTGGTATTAGAGGGAACTTTCAGTTCTAGTTTCTACTTCTCAGTTTTCCTTTCTACCCCTTACCTCCACTGGTAGCCTTCAAGGCTTGTTCAGTGAAGCACTTACAGATTCCTGCAAGAACTCTAGTAGCATTTGGACTTTGCTGTCTGGTAGTGTGTAAGCAGCTACACTGCCTTTGGAGTTACAGACCACAGCACTGAGAGCTTATGCTCGTGTCCATCTTCTTAGTATTATTCAGAAGGAGTCCGCTGCTGGAATCCCAGGTTCTGTAGACTGAAGAGGAGAGTGCACAGAAAACACATCTGCCTTGGGTGGTGACAAACTGCCACTTCCACATACTCCACTACACACAGACTTCAGTGTGGATATTCATCCATTTGCACAGTACTGGAAGTGGAATCATTAAACCAGAGAGGAAATAATGGGCTAGTGAGCATGTTATCTAGAAGACAAAGACTTGAGTGTTTGGTTTTTAGTCTTGCTTGTTTGGTGTTAGGGAGGAAACTGAAGGAGAGGTATGATCAGTCACCAGTGAACTATTGCCAGAGTTGTTATGAAAGTTTTTCTGAAGTGTAGACTTGAGCCCGAGGGCTGCTCCTCCAGGTGCTGAGTGTGAGCTGATTGTGTGACTCTGAGTGGAGAGGGGAGAAAATGGGGAAAGAAGGAAGCTCCGTTGACTGCAGTGTTCAACAGGTCCTTCTACCCTATTTGTTTATGGGTGACAGTTATATTGTAGCTGCTGTAGGTTTTGAGGAGTTGGTGCACTTTTCCCAGGGAATGAGTTACAGGTGGGTAAAAGGAAAAAAGAGCCTTCCTGTAGATTGGCTTATTTTAAAACATGAGCAAGGAAAAGAGAGACCTTCCTGGAAAGAATTAGGGAGTTTTAGGGAATAAATATGCAGTCATCTGACCAGAGTTTGATTGGTGATTAAATCAAGATTGTGAAAGTGAAAGGTAGAAAATTGTTACAGACAAGAGACAGATGAAAATAGTAGACTTAGAAATGACTAGGATTCAGTCAATCAAGATTCAGTAGCTCTTGTCCCATGCACCGTGCTTTTCCTTCAGTATTCCCTGGAAAACTACTCCATTCGTCTTCAGGATCTTAGTAACTAACCGGATAAATCATTACAGTGTCCTTTGGGTATGTTATGAGTTGAGTTTTAAGTGTGCACAATGATTCATTTCCCATTTTTTAATCCTCCTTAGCTCATCTATCCATGCAGCAGTTAAGATGGTCAGAGGTTAGGTTTGTATTAGGTATATATCTATATTAATCTCAGAATACCTTTACTGTGTTTCCTCTGATATTAAAACAAAATAGCTCCATCTAATTCTTGATAAAACTTTATCAACGTGATAGTATTGACCAGCTTTCTGATATGAAAAAATTATGTGATTAAAAAAACTGTCAAATTATGAATCCTTATGCAAGTAGATTAATTTGTCACTCCAAAATGTAAATGTAACAACTTATACAATGAGAATTTTATGTATGAAAATAAAAGCATCACAATTGTAATAAATACATTCCAGTAAAGTTTAGAAATCCTCATAATTAGCATTTTTCTCATTTTCTCTTAAATAAGAGTTTCTCAGGTACCTGAGTAAGCAGCTTCAATGTAAGCATGATTTTTGTAATTTGTCCCTGTCATATTCACATTTGCCCCAGGTTTTGTATAGGTCATTCAGAAACCACTTGTTGAGCATCTGCTCTGTACACAAACTATTAAATATACGTTAGACAGCACCTTCATACGAGCTATGTGTCAAACAGCAGGATGTTTTCAGCTTTGTACTCTAAGAAGGTGGATAGTTTTTGTCTCTGTTAATAGTTATTTTGAGTACAAACTTGGTATAGATGAAAGTGATTTTATGTCTCATGAATTACTTTGCAATTTGTCTACTGTAAATAACTGTTACTAATTTTTAGCCTGCATGCCCATTTTAAAGATAGGTTTGTGTTTTTTTTCTTCCTGTGTTCTAATTAACTTTGCAAAGGTGATGCTGCTGCTGTAGCAGGAAGAGGTGAAATAGAATACATGTCTTTCTTGTTAGTGTTAGCACAGGTGATACTGAATAGGCTTTGAAAATAAACAAGATGAAATTATTTTATCATGACAAATGTTCCTGTATTCTGGCAAGTGCCCAGTTTCAAGGGTTATGTAGATTTTCTGTTTGTTTTGTTTTGGTTTTATTTGTTTGTGGTTCCCATGTTCCATTTGCAGACTGTGTAGCTATAATGGTTGAAGCATTTAGAACTCACCCAGATTGAACAAATAAATAGAGGCTTCTATGAAGTCACTGGATGGATGAGATATCACAGGAATGAAAGCTTGGTGGGTGGGGGTGTACTTACAGGGTCCTGTGGTATTTAGTGGTTATATTTGCCCAGGGATTACTATTAATGTGCAAGAAACAGATAAAGAACACTCCCCATTAAATTAAAAATGCATTTTCTTTTGGAAAGAAGCACTTTATTTTCCTCCTTTTTCTTTTTCCTTTCCTTTTTGCTTTTTATTTTCTCTTTCCTGTTTTTTGTTTTTGTTTTTGTTTTTCTTTTCTTTTTCTTTTAAAGATATTTGGGCTATAGGGTGTATATTTGCAGAACTACTAACGTCAGAACCAATATTTCACTGTCGACAAGAGGACATCAAAACTAGTAATCCTTATCACCATGACCAGCTGGACAGAATATTCAATGTAATGGGATTCCCTGCAGGTACACACTTGCTTTTGTTGTTCTCAATCGTTGTTGTTTGGTATCTTCTTTGGAAAGGTTGTATTTTTGGCTTATGAAAGCTTGAATTACATGATTCTTAGTTTTTATGACTTTCATTTTTCAAAGAATCACAGAAATAGCAAAATTCATAGAATTCAAATATCAGCATTAAAATACTTAGGGGTTTTCTGAATTTGATGAGGTTTTTGTTTGTTTCATTTTGGTTTGTTGTTTTGGTTTGTTGTTTGGTATTTGAAATGATGAGATATTTACAATAGCTGGGTTAACAGTTAACTTGATGCCTTTTATTCCTGCCAGTGTAAACTAAAATAAGCAATAGAATTTTTTTTTTCTTCTGGCAGCGTACTTCATAGCTGCTGCTTGAATAGAAAGACTGAAGGTTGTGTTTATGTAGAGTGTTGTGCAGAACCAAATCCTGTGGAATAACGGCACTTCTGCTCCATCACTCTTGTCATTATCTAATATTAGTATTTTTTAATGTTTTGTGAAACAGCCAGGATGTGAGTGAAAGTCATAGGCGTGGTTTTACAGCAGAGAGAAAATGTATGGGTGTTCCCCTCTTTAGAGTTAACATCTTTCTGGGTGTATCCCAGATCCTAGTTATACCACAGAACAGTAATTCACCAGCCACTAAAAACTACCCATGGGTCCAGAATAATAAAAATGTGTGGAGAACACCTAAATAATGTTGGCTGGTCAGGCATGTGACTGAACTCATGTTTTATGGGAACTGCTCCTTAGGTCACTACAGCTTAAGACTGATAAAGCTGGGAGCTTGCATCCGCGGTTCCTTGTAGGATTGTTAAGTATCAGCAAATGCAGAACATCTACACAGACTTCCCTTCTTCAGCAGCACCCAGTAGTTTTGTGAGGACCTCATTGGGATAAGAATTTCATTTACTCATTGCACGTTGGGGTGCTAGTGTGACCCAGTTACTATCTTGAATAAAATGTATTAACATGGTGGTATACACCTTTAACCCCAGTACTTCAGAGGCAGCAGCATGTGGCTCCCAAGGAGTTCAAGCCAGCCTGGTATACATAGCCAGTTGTAGGACAGAACAACATAATGACCCTGTCTCAAAAAACAAACAAACAAAAAAGACAAATTAGACAAACAGATAGATAGACAGGCATATATGTATTATGATAGAGACATAATAGATACTGATTCTTGCCGTCTTAAGCATTAACATTGTTAGGATGTTGTAAAAGTAGACATGACTTGAGTGACTAGAGAAGAATTGCTTCTTTTATATCCAGGTTAGTTCACTGTTTCTGAGGCCCATGGGAAGGAGATATGGGACTGATTGGGAATAATGAAGACCATACTCAGAGATGACTCTTGCTATGGGTTTAATAGTTAGGATGACTCAGTTAATGAGAAGCCAGGAAAAGCAAGCACCAGCGAGCTAGGATCCATATAGACACTTGAATCGTAGACGGAGTTTCAGAAAGGTCAGTGTGACTGTGGAACACTAAAGTTTTCAGTGATAGTGGGCTAACTGAGGTCAGGAAACCAGTGATATGTATCACAGCTGGTAAAGACATAGTAAGGACAAATAACTTTTTAAAAGAAATATATAATTGAGGGAAAACTAAATGGTTGCCCTAAAATTTTTAGCTTGAGAAGTTGGCAAAGTAGAGAAATTGGAACAAATAAGTAGTTGAGAAGAAACTTCCATTTTAAAGTTCAAGTATATATTTAGTTTACACTGGATGATGACTGTGGGAGATACATAGCCAGTGTTCCCAGCTGCCTAGTGCACAGACTGTGTACCTAACAGATCCTTGATAACAGCCACTGACAGCTTCAGAAAGGGCAGCGTAGCTAGCATATATCCACAGCACTTCTGCTGCCCCAGACTAACTGGAGTATTGTTCGTGTCTCCAGTGCTCACACTGTATTGAACAATAATAGTAAGAGTAGCCAAGGTACTGGTATTTGGCTTGATGTGGGGAGCAGCTTTAAAGGTGTGAAAGGAGGGCTGTGGTTTAGAAAAGTGTGGTGAGCCAGTCAGAGAAAAGATCTTAGATTTCTCAGTTAAAGATACTACTTGCAGATGGAACCAAAAAATTTACTGCATGGGGAAAAATAAGTAGGTTTACTAATAGAGAAATAGGGCTGTATAGTAACAAATATTTCTGTGATTAATTTCCTTTTAGTACTAGAGTGATACTGGCAGGCTATAGTGGAACAGAGCAAGTGTAGACTGACACTTGAGCAGAGGTAGAGCTGGAGCCATGGGTTCTCCTTACAGCTCAGGATGTAGTTGCAGCTGAGCACGTCTGTGAGAGCCAGGCTCTTAGAAAGCTCTCAAAGTAAGGTAACCTTTGTTAGCATTCTTGAGACTAGGAGCCTAGGCAACATAAACATTTATCAATGTATTTCACAGATAAAGATTGGGAAGATATAAAAAAGATGCCTGAACATTCAACATTAATGAAAGATTTCAGAAGAAATACGTAAGTTGGAAAGAAAATGGACCCTTTGTTGATTTTAACTTTTCTAGAATAGTCATGATAAAAATTAAATGTTCAGCATGCCACAGCACTCACCTAAGTTTACCGAAGAATTTTACTTACTCATAAATACTGTTATGATCTTAGTTCTCATTTTATGAGATAATAAATTGACAGAGGTGACTCTTATCAGCAGCTGATTTGGAGATGAGGGAAAATCAACTCATTTCTTTTCATATTTACTACTTTCTGGAAGCCAGACAGACAATAGTGGGAAGTACTGTAGCCAAAGCAGTACAATTATGCAAGCCTTGCTGGTGGCCACTTGTCTACCCATTTAAAGTGTATAGAATTGAAAGCAAGTATTAATTAGGGAAAAGCAAGTGTTTAAAGACCAGGGGTAGGCAAAATCCAGTACTTACACATATAACAAGTAAATTTTAATCTTATACTGGTAAGCCTGAGTTAACCTTTAGCACAAATAAAATAATTATTAAGATATAATTCATGTGGGGAAAATACTACCCAGGATGTATTCATGAAATTGTCTTGAATTCCACCATCAGTACCCACTATGAAGCAACTAGTGTGGCTCAATTGGTATTACAGTGCTTGCCTAGCATGCATGAAGCCCTGGGTTTGATTCCCAGCACTGGGCTTGGTGGTGCATGCCTGCAGTCCCAACAGTAGCATCAGATGTTCAAGGTAATGCTCAGCATTGTAGTGAGTTTGATACCAGCCTGGGATACGATATACCCTGTCTCAAGAGAAAAAGAAAAAAAAAAAAGAGTCATTATTAAGGCTGGGTGTGGTGGTGCTTACATACCTATAGTTTCAGCACTTGAAGTGGAGGCAGGAGGGTCAAAAGTTCAAGGTCATACTACATAGTGCTGGAGGCCAGCTTGAGCTACGTGAGACCCTATCTCAAAAAACAAAAACACCCAAAGACTAGTGTGGACTTTAAAGAAAGTATAAAATTGGCTTAATGCTGCTATTTTATGCTGCTCAAAGCATCTTTGATGTGTGTTCCCTGTTGGTTATGATCAAAGTAGTTGTGTGTGGGAAGCTATCGGCCAATGTAGAATTCACCTCTGATCTAATGTGGATGTTTCATGGTGTTTCTCTTTCAGGTACACCAACTGCAGCCTTATCAAGTATATGGAAAAGCATAAAGTTAAACCTGATAGTAAAGCATTCCACTTGGTAAGCCTGGGACAGCAGCACAAATGAATCCATGTGGTCACTTAGCGCTCTCAGAGTGATTTCCAAAAAGTACCAAGAGAAGCCCTCCTGCCACTCAGAGACCACATTGACTCATTTTCTGCACTTGAGCTCTTGTCATTTCATTTCTGGAAATGAAAGCCACGTCCTTGTCCTTAGATACTCACCTTGAGCAACACTTAGAGTTTTGTACTGACAACTACTTGAAGATGGTTTACAAAATTTTAACTTCTAAGTTAACCTTGTCAGATTATGTCTTGAAATCCCTTTGCTGATAGTCGTGTTCCATTTTCTGGAGAGAGGGCATGCATGTTGTATAAACGAACATAGGCTAGACTCTAAAAGAGCCAGTGCACCTGCAGGGTGGTCAGATTCAGCTGTTGTTGACTTTGTTTGTAATAGAATGTCCATTATGACGCTATAACTGAAAATGTTTTTCAGTTTTGAGTTTCCATAAAAGGTTTAGGGAAGCATGCATTTTTTTTTAACTTGGCCTAAGATTCTTTTACAATGTGTTCCAATGTAGTCTTAGATGGGAATCCCTTGACTTTGCCTCACAGCAGCTAAACCACTGGGCAAGCAACTCTTTCTGATCTGCCTGTGTGTTTCCTTTTCCCTCAACTGTCTCTGCTTCTCTGTCATCCTGGCTGTTATATCGTATTTTACAAGGTAGTGCTTAACTTTGCCATGTTACTACATCCAAAATGTATGATAATGATTTATTCAGATGTATTTGCGACAGAACCCAAATTAGGAAATTAGGTCAGATCCTTCAAGATCCAAGACTTATTGATCCTAACAAAATATTGGCAGGTGCAAAGACATGCCATGCCTATCCCCAAGTCCCATGCCTTCCTTGCAGTCTAAGACTTGTGGAATCTGAGAGACTATCCTTTTAGCTTAATGTTTTTAAAAATTCGTTTGTTGTAATTCTCGATTTTAACCCCAGCACTTCATTTGTATGTGCTTTACTTCCAGGCTGCACCCCAGCTCTGTCTTATTTTATTGGGGTGAGCTGTCTTATAGATAATCTCAGTTTCATCCAGAAAGCTTTAATTCCACCGAAAGTGTTGGTTTTTTGTTTGTTTGTTTGTTTTTGTCTTTCAAGACAGGGTTTCTCTGTGTAGCCTGGCTGTCCTGGAACTCATACTATCTATAGACCAGGCTGGCCTCAAACTCACAGAGATCTGCCTGCCTCTACCTCCCAAGTGCTGGGATTAAAGGTATGTGCCACCCCTGTTTGGCCAGGTGTTGGTATCTTAAAGAACAAACCCAAATTTCGCCCCCCTGTAAGATACTTCCAAGAAAATTATAAAAGGTCATTAAATAATTGAGGCTTGCTGTCCCTGCATTTTAAAAATATTTTTGTGGCCTTTTATTCTTTATGAATCATTACTCCTATGTCTCAGTGTATCTATTAGTTTATTACTTTTCTTTTCTTTTTTGTTTTTCGAGACAGGGTTTGTTTTTCTGTGAAGCTTTGGAGCCTGTCCTGGAATCACTCTGTAGATCAGACTGGCCTCAAACTCATAGAGATCCGCCTGCCTCTGCCTCCTGAGTGCTGGGATTAAAAGTGTGTGCTACCACTGCCCCCAGCAATTCATTACTTTTCAAACCAAGTCCAGGTAGGAAGAGCTGGGAATTTGTTAGAAATGCAAGTCATTAGGTGCCTGTTCACATTTGTCTATCAGAGGCAGGAAGAGCAGGAGCTCACAGCCAGTGGAAAGTTTAAGATCAGCCTATAGGAGACACTGTCAAAAAGGAAAAACCAAAAGCCCCCAATTGGTTAAAAAGCAACACTTCCTGGATGTGTGGTGGGCTCTAGGCACAGCGCTCAGCTCTCTTATCTCTCTGGTCTAGGAATACTGGGAACTAATTAATGAAACCAATTACCATGGTACTATTTTTATTCTCCATCTGGACAGATATGGTTACAGAGAGGTGAACTGACCTTCCCGGTGCCTTCAGCCAATAAATTCTGAGTCAGGGTTTGGACTGAGCAGTGGAGTAGGGCAGCCTCTTGAGCACTTGATTACCTGGTATGGCTGCGAGAATTATTTTTTAAATTATAATGCAGCTATGCTGAATTAGGTACAGATCTAACTGCATGTGGCTTGTGTGTTGTTTACATTACAACATTTTCTCCTCTTAAAAGGAGTAGAAAATGCAAGTTTAGTCATTCTAAATTGTGTGGCTAATGAAGGGAAAAGCACTGGGGAGGGTTAGGCAGTGTGAATGTAGTCAACCTGAGATGATTGTGTGTGCTGCTACTTTAATAATTGTGCTTTGTTACTGATAATTTGGGACAATGAATGATATTGTATTGGTTTTCAGAAGCACGTTACCCCCATAAGTACTGACATAAAACTTTGGGAACAGTATACTAATGTGGGAGCCTGTGCTGATAATCCTGTGACTTGTGATTTCAGCTTCAGAAGTTGCTCACTATGGACCCAATAAAGCGAATTACCTCAGAGCAGGCCATGCAGGACCCCTACTTCCTAGAAGACCCACTTCCCACGTCAGAGTAAGTGGTGGATTTACTGACTCCCTGAATGTTGGTTGGCATCCCTGAGTACTCTTCCTCTTAGTTGTCACACAAAGTTGCCATGCCTCTGAGGGACCTGAAGAAATTGAGCTTTGCTACCATACTATGTCATTTTGGGTCTTTGTGGTTAAGAAGCAATACTGAAATGAATTCCTTCAATAGTCATCCATTTACTAGTGATGGATTCACTCTTCTGTGGCTCCTTTTGGTCACTGGTATTGTGTAGGACTGGCTACACTTGGGGGCTCTGGTGTTCCTAAATAAACTCACGTTCTCTTTACTGTCTTTGTTTCAACTGAAAGAAGGGCAGATAAAACACTGAGCAGAGGTAGATGCTTTGTTTGCACTATTGAGAGCTGTCCTGTTGGATGATTATTAATTATGGTTACACAGGGAAGGACCTTCTGACCACCTGCTGCAGTGTCATTGGTGAAATGTTTATTTGTATCAGGTTTGCATGAAAGATGCTTATATCTGTAACTGTGGAGACAAAGTCTTCTCCTTAGTATGTGACAGTGAATTACCTAAGTGGAGCACTGGAAATACTAGGCAGTGTGTGCGTCAGCTCTTTCTTTTCTCTTGTGAATAGTGTTTTTGCCGGTTGTCAGATCCCTTACCCCAAACGAGAATTTTTAACAGAAGAAGAACCTGATGACAAAGGAGACAAAGTAAGTATTAAATTATAGTTGGTAGTGCCTTACTTATGACTGCTTCTTTGGCCTTTGGATTGTCGCCATCCTTGGTTCTCCTTCTGAGTTGAACTATGTTTTCTGTTTAACCAATTGAGAAGAACCAGCAGCAGCAGCAGGGCAATACCCACACTAATGGAACTGGCCTTCCAGGGAACCAGGACAGCGGCCACACACAGGGGCCACCCTTGAAAAAAGTGAGAGTTGTCCCTCCTACCACTACCTCAGGTGGACTCATCATGACCTCCGACTATCAGGTACTACAAATGATACTGATCTGTTCTTCTGGGGTTTCTGTTGCAAAGTGTGGTCCAAAGTAGCCTTGGTGTACCTGGTAAGATATGTCAGCATGGAATGTTACAGGTATGGAAGATCACAGACATGGAAAGTAGAAAAGGATCAGACTTCTGAATAGACTTTGAGTAGAAAGTCTAAGGTCGGCAATCCAGTAACTTGAGACCTCTGTGCACATTACAGAACATCTGCGGTGGCTGGGAGACAATGCAGCCAGGAAAACATTCCCACCCCAGCACCCATGTAAGTGCTGGATAGCTTGGTGGTCTATCTGTACCCTTTTGTTCCATCATTTCAAAGGCAAAGGCAGGATTCTAGTCAAGTCAGTGAGCTCTGGGTTCAAATGAGAGACCTTGCTTCAGTATAAAGTGCAAAGCAATCATTATCAACCTGGCCTACACACACACACTGAAAATATTGGCCTCAGTGTTTTTTTTTTTTTCCTGTAAAATGAAATTGGAAAATCTTCTTAGACATGGTGTGTCTAGCATTTAGCAAGTCATCTGAACTCGAGTGGCTGCTTTTTACCCCCAACCTTATCACTTACTTCTTTTAGCCTTGACTCAGAAGGGATCTAGATAAATTGAGAAGGAAAGTAAGATGAATATTCCCTCTAGACAGCATCCTCAGTTGCAGAGTAGGTACAATGCTTAGAATGTGAAGTTTGGGAAGAATGAACTGGCTGTGTGTGCTGAATGTGTTGGCCTGCTTGTATATAAGAAAAAAACACGGTATAGACAGTGCCGGTTATTTTTATTTTGTTATTATCATTGACAATCTTAGTGTCATTCACAGAGTAGTAAGTGGCCTTACATGGTTGGGTACACTCATTAAATATTTAACTGTGTTTTGGCTTTGTACTTTATGTGTTTATATACTTGGACACACATGTGTGGATGTGAGGGCATGAGTATGCATGTGTATGGACGTGTGGAGTCCCTAAATTGACATCAGGTGTCTTCCTTGATTTTTTTTTTTCTTTATTTACTGAGGCAGTGTCTCACACTGAACTAGGAGCTTACACATGTTGACTAGTCTAGCTAGCTGCTTCCCCAGGAGATCTGTTTCTGCCTCCGAAGTGCTGGAATTACAGATAGGTGCCATGACTGATGGCTTTTACATGGGTTCTGGATATCCAGACTAAGGTCCTAATGCCCATGTATCAAAATATGATAAAATCTCCCCAGCATGTAAATTGGTATCTTTTATATCCTATATTTGACATTCCTAAAGAGAGGCTAATAATGGAAACCTTGGAGTTTTATTTGCTTTTGTTCTGTTTTGTTTTGTATGGGCCAGTTGTAAGGTTTTTGTTGTTGTTTATTTGTTTTTATTCTTTTAATTCTAAAGCTAGTACCTTGCAGAAACTTTTACATCTTTGCTTTTTTGGAACAACACTTCAATCCCCTGTTGGCCATGCTGGCATGGGGCCAAGCTACTTCGAGAAGTTCCTGAATCACGTTTTTCCCTCGTCTTCTTTCCAGCGTTCCAATCCACATGCTGCTTATCCCAACCCTGGACCAAGCACATCACAGCCCCAGAGCAGCATGGGATACTCAGCTACCTCCCAGCAGCCTCCACAGTACTCACATCAGACACATCGGTACTGAGCCGTGCTGGAGTCTGTCAGTGCACTGTTGCTCATGCTGCAGGGCTGACTGCAGCCCTCTGCGGGAACCTGGTGTGGGCCATGAGAATGTACTGTACAACCACATCTTCACAATGTCCAGTAGCCAAGTTCCACCGGTTGTCACAGATTGGGGTGGTAGCTTCCAGGTTGTACCTAAGTTTGGAGTTAGACTTGAAAAGAAAAGTGCTAGCACAGTTGTGTCGTGGGTTTGCTACTTCCATAGTTTACTTGACAGGGTTCAGACTGACCAAGCATAGTTTTCAGTGACAGTCTGTAGCAGTTGAAGCTGTGAAATGTGCTAGGGCAAGCATTTGTCCTCGTGTGTGGTGACTTTCAGTGTAACAGCGTTATCTGACCAATAGTACACAGAGATGTAAGGTTTAACTGGTACTTGAAACACAGATTATGTTAACAAAATAACTGAGACTTAAAAGATTATTTTGGTACACCTTTCTTTTTAGTGTCTTATCAATGGGTTGATACGTCTTCTACAGAAATCAGTGTTTTATGACCAAGAATATTGCTTGGATTGTTTTGAAAGTACAAAAGAACGACATAGTTTCTACTGACAGGTTTCAGAACTCCCAAAGATTAATTTCCAACTTAGAGGTTTGTTTTTATTTTCAACCTATGACTTGACTGGTCTTAAAGCTGCTATTTGATAGTAATTAAATATGTTGTCATTGATATAAACCTGTTTGGTTCAGCAAACAAACTAAAATGATTGTCACAGACAGTGTTTTATTTTTCTCGTTGGTGTTGCTGATTTGTGAGCATGCTTTCTAATGAAAAAAGCATGAGTGGTAACCTCCTTAAAAAGGCACGGCATCCAATTCACATTCTTGTCCTGAGTTTAAAGCTGGTTAGTGTAGTGCTATTAAGATTTTATTCAGTTGACTTTCTTTTTAAAAAGTTGTTCGCACATTTTTTTAGGGTGCCCTTACTTCAGCAAAGGAGAAGGAGTAGGAGAGCCTTAGAATTTTTGAGGGGAAAATAAAAAGCTATAACATACAACGTACTGTATCAAACTATTTTACATGAATGACACAAGTATTCTGAATAAAAAATTGAACATTGTTAAAAACAAGGTGTTATGTAATAAATTTATTTTTCATAAATCAGTGTATGGAGTCAGCTATATTTTTCGCACTCACAAAGGGCCTTTCGTGATTTAAAAATGTGCCTCTGTATAGCTCTTCCCTGTCATTTATTGGTGATGTCTTCCATCTGTGCTGTGGACTAGTGAGACTTAGGCAAAGGTATGGATTCTGGTCGGCTGCTGAGACCTGTAATGTGGGGAGACCCTGCTCCAGTCAGTTACCCTTTGTTCCTGCCCATTCCTGTAAAAACATTCTAGAACAGTTCAGGAACTGAGGAATCACTACATTGATAGGTCTAACCCTAACAGTAGGGTAATTTTTAGGAGTGACATTTGAGTTTTCTTACCTCAGGTCACTCTTATACTGCATGCCTTTGATCACTTAGCTCCCCTCCCTACCCCCCTGTGCCTCCTGTGGTTGTGGTTTGGCTCTGTCAGCCTTACCTCTCAGCGTGCTTCTCATGTCCTTTCCTCTTGGTCTTCTAGTGTTTCTCTATCCCTTGCTAAGTGGCCTACAAGCTCAGTGTGAGGGCTCTCTGCACATTCCCCCTCAGGATCTAGTTCCAGAGTTTGATTCAGTAGAACTTGGGTGGATTGGAAATGTGCCTCCCTTTTTAACAAACTCTTCTAGTTCTGAGACATCGGTCTGAGAAATGTTGTAAGAAAGACCATTCTCAGCAGTTCAGAGTGCTGGATGCTCTTCTGAGGACCCAGGTTCAGTGCCAAGCACCCATATGTCAGAGCACAACCATTTCTAACTGCAGTCCCAGATGCCCCCTTCTGGCTCTATGGGTACTGCACACAGGTGATAGATGTGTACAGTGAGGCAAAGCACTGAGGAAAGAGAACTTTAAAAAAGACTATTTCACCTGGTGCTGGTGGCGCACCTCTTTAATCCCAGCACTCTGGAGGCAGAGGCAGGCGGATCTCTGTGAGTTGGAGACCAGCCTGGTCTACAAGAGCTAGTTCCAGGACAGGCTCCAAAGCTACAGAGAAACCCTGTCTTAAAAAAAATAACAAAATAAAACAAATGACTATTCCAAAGTTACTCAGGTTGACAGTGAGCAAGAGATTGAGCCACAGCAGCATTTAAGTGACTTGAGGGAGGACCTTGATATACTGACAGCCCATCTCCTTTCCCTCCTTGGAGTTCCAGAACCAAAACCCATTATAACAAGCTCCACACTGCTGTCAGAAGTGCCTAGGAGCTGTGTTCTCATGTTTCCTGAATTTCACTGCCATCACCTACTCCCTCGATGAGCCTGTCCAATCGTGTTAAAATGTGGTGTCTAACAGATTGATATACCTAGTCTGCTTGCTTCCAGATCTTCCATTTCCTTCATGTAATTGCGTCTCTTACAGAGGACTCATATGATCATACCTGACAGCGCTCTCTATCCCATACCTCAATTTTATTATGCTGTGTAGCATTTATCACATGACTGATCAAGTCTGTTTCCCATAGAATGGAAGCTTCTTGAGAGCAGGACCTGTCCCATCTGTATCCATATTGCTCCTGGATAATGTCATGCAGGCACGTGACTCTGTCCAGATCCACCTGTCCTGACTGACCTGTTGCTATTGGTGACACTGAGGGCAGCTGTCTCAGACCATTGTCTACTCTCTGCCTCCTTCAGACCCAACCATGTCCCAGGGGAGCTGCCTACCCTGGCAGAGGGCCAGGCAAAATCCAGTGTTACCCTTTCTCACATGCTCATATGTCTTTTTCGGATGTGTGTCTTGTTGGCTCTCTTTAAAATGGTCTGTAGTTTAACTTTATGATACTATTCAATAAAGCTCTGAATTTCAAGTTTGGATCTTCTCCAAGGCTAGCCATTCACAGTACAGTCCTCTCCTGGGGCACTGGGCAGCACAGTGGGAATAATCTAGAAATGCAGTGATTGTAGCTTGGCACAGTAAAAGTGGTAAAGCTAGAAGTGTGAGCAAAGACTCCTCTAGACCTCAGATTGAATTCGTGCTGATAAAGCTATCCTGAGTAGTACACACATGGAAGTTACATTCAATACACTATAGTTACTGACAGTCTAGCTTAGCAAGGACCACACTGAAGGTTTTCGTGTCTCTTGTGACCATGTAGCTACTTGACAATTACTTCGCTAACCTACACATTACTTTCCTCATCTCCCACCGTCTTCTCAACACAATGGACCACACGAGCGTTTTTTTTGTCTATTTATTTATATTTATTTATTTATTTATTTATTTATTTATTTAAGATTTCTGTCTCTTCCCCGCCACCGCCTCCCATTTCCCCGCCCCCCATTCAAGTCCCCCTCCCTCGTCAGCCCAAAGAGCAATCAGGGTTCCCTGCCCTGTGGGAAGTCCAAGGACCTCCCACCTCCATCCAGGTCTAGTAAGGTGAGCATCCAAACTGCCTAGGCTCCCACAAAGCCAGTACGTGCAGTAGGATCAAAAACCCATTGCCATTGTTCTTGAGTTCTCAGTAGTCCTCATTGTCCGCTATATTCAGCGAGTCTGGTTTTATCCCAGGCTTTTTCATACCCAGGCCATCTGGTCTTGGTGAGTTCCCAATAGAACATTCCCATTGTCTCAATCCACACGTGCATTTTAATGCTGATGTCATGTCTGTCCTCTGCTCATATCCCTCCAACACATGTCTGTAAAGACCTTGCTGTATCCTACAAGTACCTACATATCCTGGTGCCTTCTTGTGAAATCTGTCTTCTGATCCTCCAGTCCCACTGCACCGTGCAGTTCTTAGGGCTGCCAGGCATTGCCTTGTTGCTTCTTCTTTACTGCCCTCAGTGAAAGTATTCCTTTCTGTTTCGATCACATGGGCACTGGCGTCCTACCTCTGCACACCAGCATCCTCTTCCCTGTGCCTACTCTGTATCGCAATAACAGGCACACCCTGTAGTTCTTTCTCCTCTGCAACAGAAGAGAAATTTCGGAGGATACTCTTAATACTAGCAGCTAAAAGAAGATGCCAGAGTATAAGTGAAACGTCCCAAGAGTTGGAGTCCCACTTGATTTCTAGGTGGTACTGCCTTGGTGGTGGTCGGAACCTTGAGGATGTGGGGGCTACGTGGAGGGCATGGGTCTCTGTGAGGCAAGCATTGAGGGTAGTTGGCTCTGTTTTAGGCCTGAGCTCTCAGCTGCCGACAGAATATAATGGGCCACCTCATACTCCAAGGACACAGCCATAAGCTTCTCCTACCATCACGCCTTCCCACTGATAGAATGCACCTTTAAACAGTGAACCTAACAACTGAAGCTATTCAGATAACTTTATTGACCATGGACATTTTAGTTTGTTTTTATGGAATGGGGATAGAATACTTTCTCAAATACATAAGTAAGTCATGTCCCCATTTCCTGAGACACTCATCACTGGTTACCGCTTTTATGTTTCTGAACTGTTTTTTTTTTTTTTTAATTCAGCTTAAACTGTTCAACTGTAAGGCCTAAATTCAGTGTCCCTGCCTCTTTGAACTCCACAAGTGGATTTCTTGAAAATCATGGTGTTTAGCCAAAGGTATTACTTCAGAATGAAATCCCTCATTCTTATTAACCATGGGAAACATAAAGGTGGTTGTGCATTTAGGGACTGAAGTATTGAATGTTTGGACTTTGCAACAGCAAAGTGAGGTCATACAAAACTTAGATACTCCTTTAAGATTGCTGCACTCAGACCACCCTCTTGTTGTCAGTTTTCTAAAAGGACTAAGTCTGTGTAGTGTGGTGGAGGTGCCATTAAAGAAAAGGAATATAAAACAATTTCACTTACCATAGAACGAAAAGAATAGGAAATTATCCTACATTGTGTACATCCTGACTATCTTGAGGGGAAAAGCATCATTAAGAATATATGCTCACCGGGCGGTGGTGGCGCACGCCTTTAATCCCAGCACTCGGGAGGCAGAGGCAGGTGGATCTCTGTGAGTTCGAGACCAGCCTGGTCTACAGAGCTAGTTCCAGGACAGGCTCCAAAGCCACAGAGAAACCCTGTCTCGAAAAACAAAAACAAACAAAAAAGAATATATGCTCGGGGAGGTGGCCACCCCAGTGATACAGGACATCTGACTCAGATGTAGGTGACAAGATGGTCGAGGCCAGAGGATGAATATCTTCAGCTATGAAACTCCTCATTAGCTGTCTCCAAACTTCCCAAGTAAAGTAACTTTTAAAAATCTGCCTTCCCAAGCCAGGCGTGATGGCACATGCCTTGAATCCCAGTACTTGGGAGGCAGATTTCTGTAAGTTCAAGACTAGCATGGTCTAAAAAGCAAATTCCAGAACTGTTGTTGTGTAAAGAAACCCTGTCACAAAAACAAAACAACAACAAAAATCTGTCTTCCCTGGCCACTGACATCTCTATCTCATGTAGCTTTCTGACTCCTCCCTCGCCATTTCACCAGCTAGTGATGGTTCCTGAGAGTGGATGAGAAGAGCTGTGATGTACCCTTGTGATCCCAGTGTTTGAGGCAGGCAGCACAGCCGGTTAGTCTGCTTGTTCTGCAGAGAAGGTTCCAGGCTAACCAGGACCAGAGCAAGGCCCCAACCCTAACAGACACAAAGTCCGGAAGAATGCTCACTTTATGTTTTTAATCATTCAGTGGTCTTTCATCACTGAAAATAAGGTCAGCGTTACCTGATGCTTTCTAGAACAGCCCAGTTCGTTTCCTTCCTCCAGTCCAAGTACTTCAGACTCCTAGAAAATGTTGATCTAGCACATTCCTGTCTCCTGGCGCTCATTTGTGCATCCTTCCTGGAGTCCCATGCCCTGATTCTGACTTTCTGTTCACTTATTTTTGAGCTGTCACCTCCTTGATAGGGGTGTTCCCTCCTAAGCATGTCCAGAATGTTTCTTGGGACAGGTTAAAATTGGCGTGGGCCTTGAGTTCAGCAGTGCCAGCAGCACTGGCCATGGCAGTGACTGTAAATAAAGCCCTGGCCGAGCTGTACAGAATCCCGTGAACTCATGCATTTTGGGTCACTGGACACAGTTTCATAAACTAACTCTAATTGCTAATTAGGTGCT